CCCCCCTCCCGGCCCCGCTCCCCCGTTGCGGCCGCGCCCCATTAAGGAACGGAGACACGTGAAGGGTTGGATCGATGTTATTGATCCATGAGCTGTTATCGATCCATGGAGCTGGTTATCGATCCGTGAGCTGTTATCGATCCGCGCTGGTTGTTACCGCAGCACACGCGGAGCCCCCGGCCTGGCCCGGCCCTCCCAGGGCACAGCTCAACCCGGCCCGGCCCGGGGTTCCCCTCCCGCCGCTGTCCCGCAGCAGCGCCCGGTCACTTCTTCTGGAGGAATTTCATTTTACTGCCTGCAGAGAGAAAACAGCATTTGGAGCTTTAGGCGAGGGACGGAGACCCCGGCACAGGGTGCCCAGAGCAGCTGTGGCTGCCTCTGGATCCCTGGGAGTGTCCAAGGCCGGGCTGGACACGGCTTGGAGCAGTCTGGGATGGTGGAAGAACCAGAACTGGTCCTTTTCCCCCCAAATCATTGCAGGGAATGGGACCCTGTGGGATTCTGTGAGCTGGAGACACTCCAGGACTCATCAGGCTGAGGTGAAGAGCCACACATGGCCACCTCTGCCAGCAGACACAACTTCTGGCCCCTGGGCAATTCCTCGGCCAGGACCAAAGTTAAGGAACAAATACTCAGAGCAGCAGCTCCCACCAACTTTATCTAAAGATACAAAAGCTTAAAAATAAAAGAAAAATCTTAGACGGTGTTCAATATCCCTTGAAGCAGTAAATGTAAACAAGGGAATACAGGTGCAGAAGGCAAAGAAGGAGCCTTCCTCTCCTTTGTAACAAATTAATTATTCAATATCTACAATTAATTTAAAAAAAAATTAACAATGAACAAAATGAATGAACAAAAGTAAGGGGTCTTCCTTTACCAAGACTGCGAAGGATTTTGTTCATTCCAGTTCGTTCCGTCTCTGGAATACTCTCCAAATACTCCAAGGCACGAACCTCAAAAAGGCCTAAAGAGAAAAAAAAAAATTAAAAAATTAAAAATCAATCACCAAATGAGCTACTCTATCTTTTAGCATGTGACATCATGATTAACAAGGCTACAAAAGGAAATCCTGCATGTGTGTGTGCAAGCTGCAGGATCAAGGAGAAAGGAGACAGATGCAGAAGTTCTTTGCTTTATCAACGCAATTCTTTTGAGTAATTAGAAGGGCTGTTCCACAATTCCAACAGCAGAGGCAGATGGCATCATGCTTCAAAAGGGAGTCTGTGAAGCACACGTGAAACAGGAAGGTGATGCCACATCTACCTTTGACCAGGTTCTTGCTGAGCTCCCGGTCCTGGATGAAGCCTGCAAACATCTGGGTCTCCATGAAGCAGTGCAGGAAGTGGCGCACGGTGCGGGAGCCGTGGGATTTGCGGAAGGGCTCCCGCTGGAACACGCGCTCCCCCTTCTCCGTCACGCTCATGTGCAGGGAGTAGTGCCCCACAATCTCCACGAAGAACTGCACAAAAGCCTCCGAGACCAGGGAGTTCAGGGTCATGTCACCTGTAGGGAGGACATTTGTCACTTGGGTCATTCCTCTCCTAAAGGAGGAGTGGCTTTTTTAGAGAGCTCAGTCACTTTTTGTACTGGCTGTCTCAGACTAGGAACTTCCAGGTGATTGGTATCAAAGAAGTCTCAGCTCAAATATTCAATTTCCCAATGTCAACTTCTGCTGCGTTTGGGACACGTTTGATTCTAAAGCTTTCCCAGAATTTAAAACATCTGTAATTTCATTTTCCCTGTCAAACATCTGGTGTGTAATGAGCTGCCAGCTCATAACAGGCTAAGTTTAATTCTCTTCAAGAATTAGGCAAACAACAGAAGACAAACTCTCTGGAAAACAAACTTTGTTTTTATGGAATTATATCATTTGCTGGTGCCATTTTCTCAAGCCACTCAGGGCTTTTTAAGTTTCTCACACTTCCTTATCTGATGAATCACGTATAAAACAGTTCAACTTTGAAAATGATCGGCCAGATTACCCTCTAAAATACAGAAATTTTCTACATTCTCTGAGAAAAACATTGTCTCTGCCACTTGGAAAAATATCTTAAAATTCAAAGCGCAGGAACTGATGCTGTTGGCCCAAAGGAAACTACAGTTCTGCACACATAAATTGTGAAAAGAGGAACTGTCAGCACACATTCACAAGATGTTCTCAGCAAGATCACAGGGAAACAGCTAAAATGCCACTTCTTAGCTTTTATTTCAATTTTCTCATTTTTATCAACTCCATGGTAGAGATCTACTAATGGCATAACACTTTTCCATAGAAACTTTTTCACAGAAAGTACCTTGTGTGTCACTCTGCCCATGTGACAGGATTTCACTCCGTTCTTCCAGGATTTGTACAAGTGCAGCCTGGAGTTTATGGGGCAGGATCTCATCCTCATCTGATACCTACAGACAGGACAGCCAAGGAAGGACTTTTGTGTTACTCCCATCAGCAGGAGAACCAAGAGGTAGATTAGAAATATTCATAACATGCCTAAAGCAGTTAGAGGGAAGTTATTCTGTGATTTATCTTAAGGGGGACAATATATTTATCTTGCAGCCACAGAAATTAAACACATTTGCTCACCATGCCCCAAGTACATTTTATTAGAGTCACAAGCACATCTGGCCACCACACAGATTCAGGCTTATTTCACCAGTAAAACAACAAAAACAATCAAAGTCTGTTGAGGAAATAATAAAGGGTCTCAATAATACGGTTTAAAAAATCCCCCAATCCTTTAATACCTTTCTCCAGTTGCAGGCTGCAATGCAAAACAGAACAGTGAGGCAAGGAAAAGGAGAAGAAAATATCTTGAACTAGTAACAAAATCCCCAGTATTTTTATAGCTACTTGTCTGGGGATGCAGAAGTACTTTTGCGGAAGTTCAGCGGAGAACCCCAAGTGTACTGTGATAATTTGTGCCCTAAACTGTCACTCCTGGGAAAAACAACAACCCAAACCAACAAACACCCCCCAGCTGGATGAGAGAGGAGAAAGTGTTGTACAGAACAGGGAGAGACAGACAGAAAGCAGCAGAGAATCTTAGGGATCCCCCTCTGTGGATGCTGAATGTGAGAGATCAGGCAGGTAGCACAGTGTCTGCGTGAAACTAAGTCACAGAACCTTCTCACACTAGCCTGAGGGCCTGAGAAATTGTGAGGAAGAACTCAAACAGTCCTTGGAGAAGGAAAATAACCTTTGCAGGTGTTGTTTGTCTCCTTTTTGTTTACTTGCAAGAAATGCCTGAGGGGTGTTGTTCCCAACTGTCCAAGGATGGTGATGTGTTGGTTTGATGGCAAATGAAAGTTTAACCCTTTCAGACCTTTTCAGAACTGTCTATAAAATAGGATCTGGAAGAATAAAACATGCTCTCTTTGGCAACTAAGCTTGAGAGTCTGTGTCATCACTATCACTGTTCCTAATACAGTGCAACACCCTTCACCTAAGAAACCAAGTAATAGTTTGTAAACTCAGCTCCGACAAGCAGAGAGCTTTGCAGAGCTCTCCACCTTGTGCAACCTCAACCTTGCAGCAAAGATTTGTAAGCCTGTTCCCTTCTCTGTCAGTTCCAAAGGATTACAAGGTATTTCTTCAGGCACTAGAGTCTCCATATGAACACCAGCTTCTCCTGATTTATTAGTTTCTTTCATCAATGCCTTTTCCTGGTATAAACCCATGAGTTACTGGTACTGTTATTTCACTCACCTCTTGCAAGAACTTATCAGCACAAAGATCAACAATCAGAACCTGGGGAGATATAGAAAACACACTGACTCATAACCAGGTATGTTACTGTATAGAAAATAAATGACGTTTTTGTTTTTTAAATGTGGGATGTTTTTTAAATAGGGCTGTCATACACAAAGCACAAGTTCTGCATAAATGCAGCCTCTCTCTGAGAACAGTGACTATTATTTATTTTTGATAATGCTGGAACATCCTGACATTTATCTGGCAAATTCACCAAGTGGCTCAGAGAAGTTTGAGAGTTTATACTCAGACAGAATCTAGATATTATTCCAGACAGGTCAACCTCATCCCACTGACACTGTCTGTGTCTCAGATATCCTCACCTCTTCTATGGGCAGGTCCTGGAGCTGTGGCAGGGAGCAGGAGAGGATGCCAATGAGGAATGGGGTCGGAGAGCACACGATGTCGATCATGGAAGCTGGCAGGACAGGGATGTAGGTGTGCTGCCAGGTGAAGGGATAAAGTGTTGCCACTGCAGCATGCCCACATTTAGACAGAGTGCTGGAGAGGTGGGAGAAGCACAGGGAGGGTGGTCAGTGTCTCCTTCAGGCTGGAAATGCTCAGAGCAGGTGTCACTTGTGTACAGTCTCTGCATCAGCAGAGGCCCCATTCAGCCACTTCTGAACTCAGTTATGGGGAGCTAAAACCACCATCAACCCCAGATAAAGAGGCAAAAAGGAAACATTCCCTTATCTCCTCTTGTGTAAATAGCATACTCCAAATTCTAGGCATGCACACTGCTGTGTCAGGAGTGCAGAAGGTTTTCAAATGGAACTAATTTTTCCAAAACTAGACAAGCTTGGACATGGGACAGGTCCAAAGGCAAAAGAAACAATAATATCCAGTGATAGCATTCCTCAGAAAGAACCACTCAGACTCATCTCTTACCTTAAGTTGTCAGCCACAAAGATGACCCTCCTTTCCAGCAGGAGTGAGGCAAAGACCCGGATGGTGTGGGAGACACTCAGACACTGCAAGAGGCACTCAAAGTCAACGTGTTCCAGCCGGGAGTCCAAGGGGCGGCACAGCTCCATCACCTGAGAGGACACAGCCACAGGGAGAGCTGGAGGAACAGCCCAGAGCAGGGACCCTCATCCTGCAGCACGGGGCCTGAGGTCAGAGCTCACCACAGGCTGCAGCCTCCTCCTGAGGGGCAGGACCAGGGACAGGATCCAGGAAGGGCTGGAGCTGGGCCAGGGGAATTTAGGTTGGATCTCAGGAAAAGTTTTCTCCCCCAGAAGGTGCTGGGCACTGCCCAGACTCCCCAGGGAATGGGCACAGCCCTGAGGCTGCCAGAGCTCCAGGAGCCTTTGGACACTGCTCCAGGGATGCACAGGGCGGGACTGTTGTGGTGTCTGTGCAGGGCCAGGGGTTGGACTCAATGATCCTTATGGGTCCCTTCCAGTTCAGGATATTCTCTGAATCCATGATTCTACACAGAATCTCAGACAGCTGGCATGGGGCAGCACAAAAGAGTGCTCCTGAAGCTCTTCACTAAGAAGCAAGGAATCACTTCCACAGTAGATGATTCCACAGCAAACACTGTTCTGGGACAGCCTCCCTTCCAACTCCAGGATGTTTTCTTCAGACTAATCATTTCCAGGCAGCACTGTACAGTTTGCAAAGAGCCACTGTGCTCCAGAGACCCTAGAGAGAACAGGCAGCTCACCCTGACCTGCGTTACCTCATCTCCTGCTCCTGGCAGGAAGCTCCTGACGGTGATGGTGCGTCCCGGGGCAGGGAATGGCGCCTCCATCACGCTGCGCATGAAGGGATGCACCAGGGCTGGGGACATCTCCCGCCTCTTCTCCACCTCATCCAGGATCTGCAGGGAAACACACGAGGCCTTGGGTCACTGCCGCTGCTGACAAGAGGGGAGAGCCCACCAGAGCATTCTCACTGAGAAGGCTCCAGCACAGACCCACAGCCCTCTCCCACCTCGTTTGGGACCCCTGTGAAATTCATCTCAAATATCTGAACAATCAAACAGGCACATCTTTCTGTGAGCAAAACTCTCCAGTCTCCTGCTACTGGAAGGAAATATCTTGTATGTAATAATCCAATTCTCTTTATTTAGAGGAGTTAAAAGGAGCAACACTCCATCCCCCTCACCAAGAAACCTCCCTGAAATGCTGTTCTAGAAACTCTGCTCCAACAATCAGAACCCTCTTTCGTCAAAGCTTGTCCTTGTACTCTTCTGCAATAACTGCCCTTTATGTGCAGCAGCTTTTTCCAATCTTTACCTCTTTATCTCCCCTCCTCACGGTGCTACAAAAAAACAGGGGAGATCCAACCCCGTCCCAAACTGATTTTCCATTTCCAAGTCACAGAAGAAAAGGATGAAGGGGCATCCTCAGTAACACCAGGTATCAGAAGGCCCTTCCTTGCAGTAATTGCTGAAGGACTTGTGTATTGGCTGACAAGGCTCAGCACCAGTATATTATTTCCTGCTCAAAGCAACGACAGAGAGGAAGCACCACTCTCCTGGGATGAGCTGCAATCACTAAGCCTGACAGAAGCATCCAGTTACTCTGAAAAGCCTGCAGGCTGTCAGGGCTCAAGGAACAGGCTGTGCCAGCTCACCTTAGAGAAGAGGTTGAAGCAGCCCAGGCGGCTCACGATGCAGTACACCTCAGGCAGGCGTTTCCCTTTCCCTTCTGGCTGAAAGGCAAAGCAACAGCTCTGCTGAGAACAGGGGGGCAAGAACAACCCAGGACCCACACTGCAGCTGATCTGCAGAATTCCTTCTGCTGCAGCCTCCCCTACACTTATGACTATGAAGACTCTCAAGGAACACCCAGTTCCAGGAGCTGGTTCATGCCCAGAGCCCATTTCACTGTTTCTGGGCAACATCATGACCCTTCTCTCTGTGTCCCAAGGGCTGCCACCACCACAGCAGCACAAGATGAGTAACCCACGTGGGAAAGCAGCCCTGAGTCATGTCCTGACAGTGCCCAGATAGTGCTCTCTGTACCCCCAGCCCTCCCAGAGATGCTCACCAGGAGTTTCCTGCAGTACCCGAACCAGCGGCTGCCGTCCTCCCCCGTCAGCACGAAGGAAAAGGTTTCACTGGGGAACCAAAGCAGAGTTGGGGTTAAATTCACCACAGAGCTCAGGGGAGAGACTGACAAAGCACAAAAAGTCCTTCTGGTCATGCTGACAAGGGCCAAGGCACGATTACAATCGTTACAAGGACTTTTGGATCTGTTCAGGATAAAAACTTGCACCCCATGAGCTTTTCCATCTCTCCTCCTTCCCAGCTGCTTCCCCACTCAGCCAAGGAGCAGCAGAAGCACTTCCAGCCCCAGGAGCTGGCCTTGGACAAATTCTTCCTTCTTACAGGAAAGGCAGCAGCAGCCCTCTACCCCAGCTCCATACCTCACCTTCCCTCCTACCACAGGGATTTCCTGGATCCTTTCCCCTTCCCCGCTGCTCTGGCTGCAGCTCCTCAGGCACACTCCAAAGCTTTCAGCATTGCCTGTCTCAGCCCCAAGTTTCAAAACCAAGTCTTTACCTTTTAAGGTCTGATGACGGGAACCAGTCTTTGGGATCTGGAAAGCAGAATTTGGGAATGACCTTTAGCCTCTCTTCAGTATCCTTTGATGGTCTGAAAGGATGTTCAGGCTGGAGGGGTAACAGATGCATGTGAAGTCACTGAAGTTGGTGCACAGCTGCAGCATTTAAAATACAGAAAGCATCTTCCTGACACTTTCAAAGGCTGATCCATTACATAGCTAATGCACAGGTACAGAAGAACATGTTCTGACTGTTAGCAGATTCCCAGTTCCCTCTTGCATTTTTCCTGCTGATTGCACCTTTGTTGATGACCCAGCTTTGTAAGGGTAGAGTAAGGGTCTACAAGCATGGCTATGTTTATTGGAAAATGAATGTAGAAATGACCCCGCAAATGATGGCTGGGTCAGCCTGCCTTGGTTCTACCCCTGGGAGATTTGAAAACACTAATAGGAACAGGAATGTGTTCAGCTTTTGATGTGCAAATCACTCATAACTGAAGTGCAAAACTGTCCCTGAACCACATGTTCCAGCCACACTACATGTGGGTTGAAATCAAATCCCTCAAGGACTCCAAAACACTTTCCATGCTCAAAGCTGCCCAGAAAGGGCAAAAAAAAAGATGTTCAGATAAGAGACTCTGTAAGAAATGTAAGGAAATTTTACACATTTAAGTAGGAAATGCCCCCAAGAAGTGGAAAGTTTATTGCGTAAAGTTGATTTTAGGCACTCAGCACATCCAGGCTATTCCAGTGTCCCAAGCTGTGACAGCACTAAGTGTTAGGAAAACAGAACAGCATTTTCATGGAGTAACAGTTGTACAAAAGCTTAGATGTCCCTAGGCACACAGCCCAAAGCAGAGGGTGACAGCAGATTACTTGGAAGCAAAGCTAATATTAGAAGGGAGACACCCAATCTGACACACTGTCCCATCTAAAGTCACTCACCAAAACACTTCTTTGAGCCGAGAATAAATAAATATTGAGAAAATATTTTTTTGTGTCAGTGCCTTTATAAAAGCCAGTGAAGAGCGGAAGGGGAGCCCTGCAGTGCCCTTCCCAAAGGCAATGGACAGATTGGGAGGCTGCACCAGGGAAAAGCCAAATCTACTGCATTCCTTTCTTCCTCCCAACACCCTAAAGTTTGCATTTTCAGCAGATATTATTTCTGAGTAATCAGTTTTACCCACTAAATTAACACTGTGCACTCCTTCTGGCTGTAGTTCCTTATCCATCTTGTGAACCCAAAGTATTTACACACTTAAAACACTGTAGTTATTTGTACACAAATTCTTTAGGCAGCAGGAACTGGGACACTGTGGGACCTGCTGGGGTCCCACACAACCTCCCTGAATGGATCTGACATCTCCTCTATGTGGATGACATGCAGATTCCTCAATAATCCCTGGCTTTCTCCTGATGGCACAGCCAGAATTCCTGGATCTGTTTTCAGTGGAAGGCAGCAGGTATAAGCCCAGACAGTGACAACTGAATATTCTTCTCAATCTGGTACCACAGAAAAACCAAAGCTCCATCTCAGCTTCCCAGCTTAGGACACTGAGCTATAACTCAGTCACACACTGTTTTTTTTCACCCATTTGGGCTGAACAGCTTATTTCATAGGGCTTGGTTTAGCTACAGCCCTTCAACTTCCACAGCTCTCCTGGTTTTGGGGGCTTGTACAAACAGCTTTGCCATTTTATTTTTCAAAACAGTATAAATAAGCACAAAAGCCCTGGGATTCCAGTTCCTGTGCACCATCAGTGCTTCACTCCTTGTTTACAAAGGACAGACTGCCAGGACAACGTTCCTGCCAGCTTTGGGACAGAACTCTCCTTCCTCTCCTTCAGCTGTTATCAAATACCTCACGGCTTCATGAAATTTGAATTAAGTAGGAGCCTTCCTAGTTCAAAAACATCAATAAACTCATTACCAAGACACATATTCAAGAACTGTTGTAATGCAGTTAGGAAAAATGGTATGACCCAAAAAATGAACCCCTGAAAATGTAGAATTGTAAGTTTCTTTCCCTTATCTTGTTCTCCCCAGTTCCCTTTATTGGTTGTGTGAATTCCCTCCACCCCTTTCCCCTTGTCTTCAAAAAGGAGTGCTTATCGATACCTCTTCCTCTTTCCCTCCTGCGACCTCACTCCGTAGGTTCCCAAGAAATAAAGCTGTAACTACCATCTCAGCAAGGGAAGAAGCCTCGTTTTTAGGTTCTTCTTTGATAAGCTAATCTATCTCCCCTGTCTCCCTGGCTGCTGCAGGGAGGACAGTGGTGGCAGAGAGGCAGGGGACATTAGAAATTATAGCAAAGAACCTCCTGACACTACACACTAGGTGTGTAACAGAGCAAGGTGCTTCACATTCCAAGCCCAGATCCTGACCAGTGTAGCTTAGGAGGGGAAACACATAGCTGAGCAGTTCCCTGGGCAGATTTCCACACAGCTCCTACCTTGCTGGGGAACTGCTGGATGATGTGTGGTGTGTAGGTGACCTCAGATGCCTTCTTGTGCAGGGACACCACCACGAAGAGCTCAAACAGCCGCTGCTCCTGGAGCTCGATGAGATCCCTCTCCAAGGTCTGGTAGTGCGGGTTCCTCTTGGAGGCCGAGTGCCTTGGGCACCTGTGGTGACCTGGGGAGAGGAATAAATTCCAAACCAGCCTGTGGCTGGCACTGTCACACACCTACAGGGCACAGAAGAGGATTCAGCATTGCCATCAGAGAGGGAAAAGGGATGGGTGGATTCGCCACCTCCATGGGATATGGCGTGCCTGTGTCAGCTCCTCATGCACAGAGTGGATCTTCCCCAAGGGAACAAATGACAGGAGAAGAGGAAATAACCTCAGATTCCACTGGAGGAGGTTTAGATTGGACATTAGGGACAATTTCTTCACTGGAATGGTTGTTAAGCATTGGAGAAGGCTCTCCAGGGCAGTGGCAGAGTCACCATCCCTGGAGGTGTTTAAAAAATGTGTGGATGTGGCACTTGAGGATGTGGTTTAGTGGTGAGCATGGTGGTGGTGCTGGGTTGATGACTGGACTCGATGACCTTAGAGGTCTTTCCCAACCTAAACAATTCCAGGATTCTGTGATTCAGACAGGGAGCACTGACCTGGCAGCAGCTCTGTAAATCCTCCCTGACAGATACTGAAATTTCTCCTGCTGCCTTGATGTTCTTACATATCTCAGAGTGACACTACAGGGTACCAGGGAGTGAAGCCCAGCTGCACCAGGTCAGGAGCTGCCAGGACTCGGAGAGCCACTCCAAACACCACTGGGCACTCAGAGGCAGCTCCCTGGCCAAGACACCCTCAGGCTGGGCTCTCCTGACAGTCAGCAAAGGCTCACAAGCACAGGCACAGCCCTCTGATGTCAGGAATTCCTGTGGCCCAGGCACCGTGACACATTCTAGACACTCTCAAACAACTCTTCCAGCAGGCAGTGACTCAATTTCTGTTGAGATTCTTCACTCTCCACTACTCTCCTTAACATAAAGAAATGGAACTTCACTTTTCATTCCAAGTTAAAGCCTTTTGAATGTTTCCCTCCAAGTAAATGAAACACCTAAAATAGTTCATAGAATCCCTGAAAGGTTTGGGTTGAAGGGACCTTAAAGCCCACCCAGTGCCACCCCTGCCATGGACAGGGACACCTTCCACTAGCCCAGGGTGCTCCAAGCCCCACCCATCTGGCCTTGGGCACTTCCAGGGATCCAGAGGCAGCTACAGCTGCTCTGGGAACCCTGTGTTAGATCTTTGTGTTTAATCTGTCTACACATGGAAGCTAAAACCAGCTAAAACCAAGTAGGTGTTTCAGGTCTGGAGTCTGGGTCTATGATCAAACTCAGGACATTGGAAACTGACAAATACCCAGGCAAATTCTCCCCAGAGGAAAGGACACTGCACAGCATTACATGGAAGGAAACAGGAGTGGAATAACCTCAAGCAGCAGCAGCAGAGATGATCAGGAACAACCTGCCACAAGCCACACTACCAGCCCAGAAATGAATCTGCTTCTGGTGACTGGCAGATTAATGGCATTAAACCTCAAGGGCTCAGGGGAAAGGGCAGAAACAGAGGTTGGCTTGTCACAGTAACAGACAACAGGCTTGGCCATGTGGCCTCTGAGAGGCTCCCTGTCCCTGTCTCAGCAGATCCCCACACGTCAGCGGGCTCATCCCACCAGGGCCTCAGCCAAGGGTGCTGTGGGGAGAGAACCAGCCCCTGTGATTCACTCACTTTTGGGCTGATTTTCCGTATCGCTTTCATTCCCACTGGTTTCACCTGAAACACACATAGTTTTCACTAGTTAGCCACGCAGAAGGAAGATGGGCAACACCCAAAGTTGGGAAAGAGAGAGAACCTGAGACTCATCAGATCAACATCCCTTAGGGCTGCCCACCAATCCTGCCCAAAGCATCAGCCAAGGGCAACTGAAAAATGTGCTACAACAGATTTCAAAAATGTCATTACATCACATTACAGCAAATTTCAAAAAGCAGAGCTGATATCAAGCCAGTGCTGCCAGTGAATGACCTGCAGGTCAACTGAACACAGGCAAAGAACACAAACCAGCTGGCTGGTTGGAGCTGCTATAAAACTGAACCGAGCTGCTGAACAGAGTAACTAAAAAGACCCTACTGTGGCTACACAATCAGAACAAAGCACATAGACAACGAGTGCAGTAGTCAGAAGTGGTTCTGATGCCAAGTGGTTTTCTGAGGAATTTTTGCTTTAATCTGCTTTTTTTTAAAAAAAAAAACCAGCACTTTTAACCAGTAGCCCAGCTCTCCAGGCTCAGAATCCTCCACTTGTGACTGTTAAATTTGGGTTAGGCAAGTGTTCCTTGAGCTGAAAGTTCAATTCCAGCCATGAGTCACTGTTGTGTCAGCATGAGGTGGTGGTACCAGGCCAGGCACAGAGGAATTGTGACACTCAAGGTGTTTAGAGCACAGACAGTGGTGCTGGAGACCCCAATACCTTTCACTGGAGCTGCTTCTCTCCCGGAAGGACTGAGCAGCTTCACCTTCTTCTTTCCCCGCTTGGAATCAAAGATCTCCTGTATTTTTAGCACCAGCTGAAATCCAAAGCAGAAGCAGAAGTTAATGGGGAGTCCAGAGAAGGGTCCAGGTGCCAACAGGAGGGCAGCCCAGCAGCCACCATCCAGGACCTGGGGAAAGCTACAGAAATCCTGCAGGAACCCTGGCTCAGAGGCTGGAGTCCTTCTAACCCAGCTCACTGGATAAAGAATGAGCACAGATTTCTGCTGCAAGAGAGGGATCCCTGTCAGCACAGCTTAAAGCTGACACCAGACTGTACTGAACAATTCTGGAAATTGTCACACTTGCCTTCCCAAATAGAAGTGACAAACTGTGTAGCATCAGATCTCCATTTTCTATGCAAAGGCACTTGAAAGAACATCTTACAAACCCTCCAGCACAGAGGACTCAGAATATGCTCCACAGCATCCCAACTCCTTCCAAGCCCAGAAAAAGCAGAGCTCTGTCACTGTAGCTTGGGGGTTGGTTTTTGGAGTTTGCTGCTGTAGTTGGGTATCAGCTCAAGTCTCCTTAGGACAAATGAGGCTGCTGTAAGCACAGGCCCTGTCCCAGGTGTTTGCTGGAACAAAAGGATGATGTACTCACCAAAGGAGTAACCTGCTCTAGTGGAAGGTGTCCCTGCCCATGGTGGAATTTAAGGGCCTTTCCACCCAAACCATTCTGTGATTTTGAAATGAAGACAGAACAATGGGTCTGTGCTGCAGGACCACACTGGTCCACTGGAAGAAAAAAGCTGGGAAAAAGCACAGCCCAGTGGAGACTAAGCCACAGACATGAAAGAAGGGTCAGCATTTTGACACTCTGCATTGCTGCTGGCAATCTTCCTTCCACTGGTCACAACAGCCTTAAAGCCAAAGTCCTGACACTTTCTGTGTCCCTGGCACAGTCTGCTCTGTGCTTTCTCCTCACCTTCCAGTGTCCCAGGGGCTCCTGACTCCCCACATCAAAGGCGGCTTTCACTTCACGTGAAGAGGGATTTACCCTAAATGCAGGGAGCAGGTCAAGTTCATTCCTGCCTCAAGAATTCATTAAACCAAACACAGGAGGGTGGGGCCCAGCCATTTGTCATCACAAATACAGCATAAAAAGAAATATATTAAAGAGAACCTGTTTGTTCAGCTCAAGTGTTTAATCCCCACATCAGCAAACCAGGCTTAGGCTCTCCATTTCCAATCGATTTCTCCCCATTTTTGGCTCAGACAGCCCTCCCAGCACGAGGAGGCTGCAGGGAACAAACAGCCCACAGCAGAGAGCAGTGCTCCTCCTGCCAAACCTACCTTCTTTCCCTTTTTATCCAGCCTTAGCTAGAAGATCTTCATTTCTGTCCTGATTTTTGTGCAGCTGAGTCACCACCCTGGGTGTGTTTAAGGCAGCCATGTGTTTCTTAGGCAAAAGGTTTTGTCTCTTTAGACCCCAGTCCTTTACTCAACCTCTCAAGCAATCTTGGCTCAATTCCTCATGAGCAAAGGGAGTAAAGTGCTCTTCCTGCATGCAAATTGTTACCAGATTTTTGGAATAGGTTTGCTTTTGGAGAACATTTTATTTTCCCTCTCCAAATGAGAGATACTCTCCATCAAAGCATTTTTATAATCTTGCCATCTCCTTCCTGATTTTCCAGACCTAGGGTTTGTTTAAAAACACAGACAGAAGTTACTTGATACTCCAAAGCACTTTAAAAGGTTTGAAAAGTCCTTTGCAGCTGTCCAACTCTACCTCATAGTCTTGTGCAATCTGAGCAAATACACATGATTTTCAGATGAAATAAAGATCCGCTGAAGTGAAATGATTTTACCACAGCAAAAATAAGTCTTTGCTACTACCACAACTGGAATTTGAGTCCCATGCTCAAAGTGCCACCACAGTGCACTGCAGCTGCCCTTCTACAGCACGTGGTGCCTTTTATCCCTGAGGGGTGTGAGCTGGTAACCAACACAAGAAACCTTCCCAAGGCACCAAAGGAGGGTCAGAATAGTCCTCTGTGTGGAGGTGGATTAAAAGCCTTCCTCACCCCTCAGGCCTCAGCAGCATAATTGTCTTTGCAGCCAGGCAGGAGGGAGAGGCCAGAAGGGACAGGAGGCTTTGTGAAATGCTCTTAGCCCTGAGAGTTCCTCTGCACCTTTAAACTATCGAACAGCAATTCCTGATGCCAGGCCAGAATTCCAGGCCAACATTCCAAGTAACCAAGGGCACCACAACTATCCCAGAGCTCAGGGCCTGCAGTGGAACACCAGAACCAGTCTGGAAAGTCATTGGGAGCAGGGGACACATCCACACAGTGTTACAGAGCTGCCCCTGTAGCTGTCCAAGAGCATAAACCCAGCACCATCACACTCCATGGAAACACTGGGAACAAAGCTTAGGTGACCAAGCACAAGGAAGGGCTTGTGTTCACACACAGCCCTGACCTCTAGGTCAACACTGAGCAATTTGTCTGCCGACTCTTGGCCAACAAAAACACCACTGTCCCAGCTAGGACTGGCACCCAGATCCCCAAACAGCAGCTCTGCCACTTGGAGAGGGAATGGCTGTAGCAGCAATCACCTGCCTGGCCCACAGCTCTGTGGCCTTGGAAACTTGTCTGGGAGGGCTTCAGCTCCAGCGACTTGCGACTGAGGAAGGAAGGTTTTGGGGGAGGCTGGAAAACAGAAGCAGAAGAGACAGTGAAGTGTGAGATAAAGCTTTGGACCAAGGTCACAGGCAGAGGAGTCAGATTACAGCTGGTAAATCTGCTCTACCGAGCTCTCCATCCCACCTTCCCACCCAAGCATCTCACCAAATCTCTCTTGCTCCTAATCTTTTGCTCCTTAGCAGCTTAACCAGCTGCCATGGCTGTTCATTATTTACATTATACATTATTTACATTATACATTATTTACATTAATAACAAGCAATAAAACAATAAGGAAAACCAATGACTTGCAGTGTGGAATGTGAGGCTGGGGGTGAGCACAAACGAGGACCCTTGTGAGAATGATTCTGCAAACACATAACCCTTTAATCCCCCCACCCTACCTTGGGAGCCCTGCTAATGCTCCGGGGAGGGGGCAGCTTCCAGACAGATGGGACCTTCCACAGGGGCAAGGGCAGTGCTCTGATATCTTCATAAGGATCTTCTTTTGTAGGACCTGAAAAAAGCATTGGAGGGGTTTATGAAAGGAGATCAAGCCCTGTATTTTTTGCCAGCGATATAAGTGGGGAGAGTGTGCAGCTGTCTGCCAAGCTTTAACAGGGTCTGAGAGATCTGTTTAGAGTTGGATGAGGTTCCCGTGACATCCTAACCCACTGCCATCAACTTGGCAAACTGTACGTGGACTCAGCAGAACAAAACACTTTTTCCCCTGCAGAGCAAGCAGCTCTACTGCAAAGCAGATCATTTTGGCAGTGTTCACACTGATCTCTGTGCAACGCTCAAGCAAAGCAATCCAAGAGCTAATAAAGAAATCAGTTTAACACAGGCCAACTCTAGTGACCTCCCATGACATCCGAAATCAGGCTGTTCATGTGCACATCAACACCAACAAAGAACCCCAGATGGGGAAGACCTTAAAAATCCCTTAAAAGAGCTGGGAAGGGCCTGAATGCACCCTCACCTTCACTCCTCCCTCCCCAGCACAACTGCCACCCTTAAACACAGTGAGGGCACCCCCAGAAGCACAGACACATACAGATAATGTCCTCGTAGATGTTGTCTTCAGACTGAGTGTAGACCAGCCTGGATCCTGCAGTGCCATTTGTCTCTTCCCGAGGTCTGTGGGAGCCGCTGGCTGCCGGCCGCTTGCGGAAGCCCTGGATGTCCTCAAACTCAAAAGATTTCCTAGAGGAAAACCAGTGTAACTTCTTCTAAAGGCACCTGCTTGAGTTGCTGTCTGCAGTCCACACACAAGTGTGGCCCTCCTTGGGACCATCCAGCACACGGGTGCTCCACTCTGGACTCGCATTTCCAAGGGTTGAGGTCTAACCCCAGGCAGCAGCTCAGCCCCTCACTCCCACCCCGTGGGATGGGGGAGGGAATCAGAGGGTAAGAGAGAGAAAACACATGCATGGGTAGAGATAAAGACAGTTTGGAAGGTAAAGCAAAAGCTGCACAAGCAAGGAAAGCAAAACAAGGGATTAATTCTCTATTTCCCTTGGCAGGCAGGTGTTCAGCCATGTCCAGGGGCTCTGTAATGCGCAACAGTGACTTGGGAACACAAACTCCAGATGTCCCCCTCTTTCTGCTTCTTCCCCAATTCTTACTGCTGAGCAGAACACCACAGGGTCTGGAACATCCCTGGGGTCAGCTGTCCCCTCTGTGTCCCCTCCCAGCTCTGTGTGAGCACAATGTTACCAATATTTTTATCACAACTCCAAAACTCAGCATCACACAAGATGCCAAGAAGAAAATTATCCAAATCAAAGCCAGCACACCAAGTGAGTCCTGCTCACTTCATCTGTGAAATTTGTTAAGTAAGAAAGGGAGCAGGAGGCTCCACGCCCAAGCACATTCCAAGCAGGCATGGCCAGATCCATCCTGCCAGAAGCAAGAACCCAAACTATGTTTTGCAGACTTGCAGCAGCTCAGTACCAGGGCACTGCTTCCTACTGGCCTCTCCTACTCATGCTCAGGGTGTTCATGCATTTGTGGGTTGCCATTTCCATCCACTTAGCCACTGTTTTGAAATTAAGGCACTGAGGTCACAGAGGAGCTGGCAGGGATTTAGCCCATCATCATCATAAAATGTGAGTTGCTGCTGCACACTTTGCCACAGTGGAAGGTTTCAGAACCTCAAGCCACATCTCTGCTGGTACTGCGCACACCAGTCTAGCACAGGCAGCTCACCTGGGAGCAGGATTTGCATCAAGCCACCTCAGAAGGGTATGGGAAAGAGGGAGAACCAGCCACACCTACTACAACAGCAGTACACACAGCCTCCAGCCTTAAGCAACAAGAGAATCCTTCTCTCCCAGGAAAGCCAAACACACAGCAGCAGCCACAGTGCCCCAAGAGAAAGCTTGCAGCTGAGGGCAAGCAGCAGGCAGGGAGCAGGCAGGTCTCTCCCTGGGGCCAGCATATTGTCACTCCACTCTGGTCTAAGGTGTGGGCTGACTTCTGTTTGGAACCTGGAGCCTTCTTTGCAAGACTGTCAGCAGAAAAGCAGGAACATTTCACCCAGGAACATCCTTTCCCCATGAAAAGAGGCACCATCACTAGCAGCACCTCCATAAGGACATCATGCCAAGCAAGCTGCTCAAACCCATCTAGAATGTGATTTAAGGAAATGTTTCAGACATGAGAGATGAATTATGTACCTCTGGGCTCTCCCTCTGATCCTCCTGCTGGCTATTTTCTTCTCAGGGCTGTTGGAGGATGACACCAAGTCACTTCCACTCTGCTTTTGCAGGACGGCTTCCCTACTGGCACTGGCATCTCTACAAGCACCAGCACCCTTCTCTGCCAGGTAGCAGAAAGTCCTGCGGGGTTTGGGTGGTGGATCAGGAGCTGGCTCCTCCTCTTGCCCCTCAACCTCAGAGTAAATGTTTCTCAAGCTTCTCTCTGCCCCGCAGAAAGTGTCCACTCCTTTGATTTGCAGCTCTCTTTCCATGCAGCCAGAGCTGCCTTGCTTCCTCTGGAGGTCCGAGGAAACAGGAGGGGCTCTGCCAGGCAGGAGGGGATCTGCTTTCCTCCACAGAGCTTGTGAGGTATAGAAGTTCCCTGGGGGCAGTGCCACCCCCAGGGCCAGGAATCCTGTTTGCCCCTCTCCTTTCTGCTTGGCTCGAGAAGCTGGGCCACTGCAGTCCTCAGTCTGCCAGCAGCTCCGTGCATCTTCCCTAAAATCCAGCCCCAGGCTCTTTGGATCTTTGGACCCAGCCTTTCTGCCATTCCCTGTGCATTCTGGCTTCACTTTGGGTAGTGCATTGCAGCTGGGATCATACTTTACTCCAAAGTCCTTTGGCTGCTGCTTCTCCTTGCTGGGGCAGCCCCGTGTCCTGCCCTCCCACTGGGAGATCTTCTGCTTGATGTTGCGGCAGTGGCTGCGGGACAGGGTCTGCACAGCCGCGCGGGAGAAGCTGCTGTCCCCAGCCGCCGTGGGGTGCATGGCAGGGGCCAGAGTGCTCACAAACAGTCCATGTCTGGCCCTGGCTACATCCTCCCGTGTCTTGAACACATCAAAGCTGGCACCACACTCGGAAGTGCCCGGCGCTGTCACCGAGTCCGGGCTAGCTGCTCTGACCTGCGGGCAAAAACAAGAGCTGTCAGCTGCACCCCAGCAGTGCTCCCCACCCCAAACCCCCAGCTGCTCCCTGGCAACTGCTGCAGAACATTCCTCCCCAAATCACATCCATCACCTGCTCAGGAAAGGCTTCCAGAGCTTGCTCCCCACACGGGCTGTTTGTGCACACATCTGGGAGGGCAAGCAAGAGGGAGCCGAGGCTTCACCGGCTTAAAAAACAAATACAGCAGGCACAAAATACCCTGGGGGATCCCAAGCATCCAGACTCAAGGAAATTATTTAATGGCAGAGGAACACAGCAGCATGGATCTCAGCCAGCCCTTCTGCAGGAGTGCAGCTCCTCCTGATACTCAGAGATCAGACAAATCCCTGTGGCACCTGAGCTCCCTACTCAGCAGAGACATAGCAGGACAGGAGGCACCAGGGCAGCTCTAGAAGGAACCACATCTGCTTCTCGAGAGAGGAGCTGCTGCTTCACAGGACGAGAAGAGCTGTGGTGGCTGGGAAAGAGCCCGACTCTGGCAATGTATCCTCCTCCCAGAAATGCTCTCTTGCTCCACAACACAAGTGAAAACCTGTCTGGTGTTCTGTTTGTCAACACCTGACCTAAATTTGCCATCCAAGAGATGGGAGGGCAGTGGTGCCCAGCCTGTGGCTTGCAGCCAGGGGAGTTTCAAAAGGCAGAAGAAACAGGTGAGTTCTCATCTTCAAGTGAAAAATTGTGCCATGTTTAGATCAGCAGAGAAGGAATGCTAAAGAAACACTCTGGCTTCTCCTACCCAGGCAGAGCCTGCACAAACAGGAGCTGTGCCCTTTGAGACTTCCCACACATGTGATCCAGGGGATGCAGCACACATCCTCCAGATAATCCAGCAAGGAATGCAGGTGAAACCATCAGGGAGAACTAGGGCGGCTGTACAGATCCAGCAACTGCAGGTTCAGCATGGCCTCAGTACAGACATTTCACATATGGAATCCTGAGCCTTGGAGCTCTTTGGCTCTCTCTGTAGCTCACAGGGCATCCCCAATACTCCCAGATATGCCAGCACAGGTGAAAATTCATCTTCGACAGAAGACATAGCTCATAGGCTCTAACAAGCCCTGTTCCTCCCTTTCTCTGGGCAATTATCCCATTTCAGAAATTCCAACCCTCCAGCTGTATTTAACAATCTCCATTTGCAGTAGAGACAAGTGCTCAGCTCAGGGGCCACACTGGCTCTGGTAACATTGCCCTGGCACCAAGAAGTCTTCCTGCAAAAGGCAGGGACACAGCAGAATTCCACACATGCACAAAAGCAGAGGATCCCTGCAGAAAGCAGCCAGACCTGCTCCAGGTGGGACCAGGGGCCAGCATCACACTAAGCTGTGCTTGGGCTCCAGCTGACAGAGCCTGGCAGCTGCCACTGCCACCCTGGGCATGTGTCCTTCACAGCCAGAGCCACCACACCCGGCGAGCACTGAGTCACCACAGCTTGGCAGAGTGGGCAGAGCCAGGGATGGGCAGCAAACCAAGCTGGGAGACAGAGGAGCTTAAACCTGCCTGGCAAGGGGTCATGTCCCACTCTCCAGGCTGGGTGTGGAGCGCCCACACCACAGCAGACCCGCACCCTGCCCATTGCTGGTGCCACACCTCAAATTCCACACCTCAGGGCTATCCCTGGAGCTGCTGATCTGCTTGGCAGAGGCATCTGCAGTGCAATTAAAAGCAAAGCACTGGCCTTGGCAGATCTAGTGCATGACAGCACTAGTGAGAAAGCTCACTGGTCAAGGACATCCCAGGGCTCCCAGGCTGTTCAGGGATGGTTTGGGCATACGTGGCAATAGCCTTGGCTCTGCTGCACTCTTCCCCCTCTGCCAAAGCAGCACTGTTGCTGTGGGAAGCAGCTTCCTGTCTCCACAGCGTGGGTTCCTGCAGGCTGGAATTGCTCAGCCCATTGTCCCAGACAGCTGCTAGTAACTCTCCCACTCAGCCGTGAATGGGATAAACTTGGACAATCTGGGTAAGCCCTGAGCTGGGGATATTTGCTCCATCATCAGCTCTCTGTCCCTCATCAGCATTCCAGCCTGTCCTCAGTGCTTCCATAGCTGCTGGAGACCCTCTTCCTGCACCAGCAAGGGGCCCCTGCCCTCTCCTATAAATAGGCATTGTTGCCAAAACATCCTGAGCCAGAGCAGAACCATCCTTCCTTGATGTGTGTCTGCCCAGCCCTGATTAGCAGACAGGAAAGCAGCTTTCCCTCTGCTGTGCCACTGAACTGCTGTTCCAGCGCTCCAGGACACTCCCCAGGACCCAGCTGGCAAAGGACAGGCTCTGCTGGGGACAGCCAGGGCAGGACAGGGCTCAAACAGCCTCCTCAGCAGCCCAGCTTCACACCAGGATCCTCCAGTGCCTGCCAGGACCTCAAACACAGTACTGATGGATGCAGGACTGGCACAGGGAGAGGAAGCCAAAGCACCCCGCAGTGTGGAGCAAGGTTTTATCCACAGCGCTGAGCAAGTCCAGCACTCCCACAGCACACACAGTCCATGCCCACAGCTGCTTTCATTCCCAACAGCACTGGCTGCTTTCTCCTCCAAACACTCCAGCTGTGAGCTCCTCTAGGAGCAGCCTGGCAAAACATCCACAGAGAACCATGGAATATGCTCAGAAAGGAACCACAAGGATCATCCGGTCCAACTCCTGGCCCTGCACAGGACTCTCCTGGAGCTCTGGCAGCCTTGGGGCTGTGCACATTCCCTGGGGAGCCTGTTCAGTGTCCCAGCACCCACAGGGGGAAGAAGAACCTTTTCCTGACATCCAACACCATCCATGAGGACAAATGACTGCACACTGAGTAGCCCTGCACAGTTTTCCTGCTGGGTCCATCCTTGCTGTGTCCAAGCTGGGCAGCTCTGCCGGCTGCCAGCCTGCCCCACATCCTTCCTGCCACAGCTCACATTGGGAAGGCTGCAACAAAAACTGCCTGTGCTGCAGCTTCCTCAGCCAGCCAGCCAGATCCATTTCTGCTTCCTCATCTCAAGCCATGGTTGAAACCAAGGCCTAATGCTCCTGCCCTGTCCCACTGCCCCAGACCCTGTTCCCATGGTAAGGCACAGCCAGGAGCTGAGAAACGTGGAGGAGAAGCTAAGCCTTGGCCAGCACATGGAATTTCAGCATCCCAGAATGGTTTAGGTTGGACCTTAAAGCTCATCTCCTTCCACCCCCTACCATGGGCAGGGACACCTTCCACTGTCCCATGTTGCTCCAAGCCCTGTCCAACCTGGCCTTGGACATGCAGAAATGGGATCCACAGACAACCAAGCACAAGCTTAAAGTTATCCCTGCTCAGTGCTGCTCCCTGGACTGTCTCTTCCAAAGTACCAATCCAAGGAGGAGAGGAATGCAGCTTTTCACCTGCCCAGGCTTGCTATCAAGAGCCAGGTGTTTAATCTCAGCTCATCACGTGAGCCCAGGAAAGGGTAGAGACTGATCTTTGGTGAAGAAAGAGCACAGTGGGGTGGTGTGATCCAAGTTAAGTAATCCTTAAATGTAGTCCAGGACATGCTAAAACACAGTTCAGGGACACAGAGCTGGCAGAGACCACCTGGGTCAGGCAGCCAGCACTTGCATCAAACACTATACAAATCATTCCTGTCACAGAATAACCAGACTTGTGACTGCTTTCATCCTGACCTCCCTTTCCAAATTCCTTCAGTGGCTCCAGTGTGCTTCCCAGTATTTCCAGAGGGGCCAAATTTATCATCCTTACTGCATCAGGATTTAGAGGAGATCAGTGTAGTTAAGAATACTGAATCATTTCACTGGAAGCAGCAGTTTGGGGAAAAATAATTTCTAGGCAAAGCATCATCCATTTCTGCCAAAAGACTGCTCTCTGATCCACACTGTTTGGAAGCTTCCAAAGCAGAAGAATAAGTCACATTCACAGCACATGACAGGTAGCCTGGACTCTTTTCCCAGCTCTGAAAACCAGAGAGAACACAACCCATTTTCCATGCAAAGCCTTGAGACAATTCCATTTCCTGAAACCACATTCCCAAGGAGAGAAAGCTGCCAGTGGTGTTCCAGAATAAATCCCTGTCTAGTGCTGAGGTCACGGCCCCCACCAGCCATGCTGCTGGAACCCCCAGCACCCAGAGCAGCCTGCAGCAGAGGCACTGACACCTTACCTTGTCCTGCTCCTGGGAGCACAAACACCGCCTGGACCAGCCCGTGCAGCTCTGAGGCAATCTCAGTCCTTTTGTGAAAGCTGTGCAGTCCTAAACCACCCCAGAGTCCTTGTCGCCAAGCCTCCTGTGTCAGTAGCCAAATAAAAAGCAGTTTCTGGTCTTCTGCAGCTTAGGGAAGCTGGCAGCTCATTCCTGCAGGGAAAGGACCTCTTCCAGAACTCTCAGCTATTCCCATTCTGTTCCTCTCCAGAACAACCCTAAAGCTCCTCTGAACAATTCTGCCATGCTGATGCCTCAAAGACATGGGCAGTACCAAACAAGCAGATTTTAAATCAAAATCTGTAACTCTTCAGGAATGCAGTGTGCTTAGTCATTTCCATCTCAATACAAAGCTACTCTAACCACGAGGTATTAACTCCTTCCATGCTGCTGTATCTCCTGCTGAGGAGCAGTTCTGCCTCATTAGATCCATGGCCACAGCCCCTGGACACAGAAAATTACACAGAAAATCCAAATTACACAGCAAAAGGAGGTTGGGTCTGGCCTCTGCCAGTCTAAAACTTTTCTACTGACTGCCTTTTTCTAAAGTAATGAAATTCAACTTCTTGAAAGCAAGTTTTTCCTCAAGATATCAAAAAACCACAAACCAGAGCACTTCCAACATGTAAGACCTGAAGGCTGCTACACCAGTGGGCACATGGACAGAAACCCACAGTGTACTATTTTTAAAGTCATGGCTTTTTAACCTGACTCACAGCATCTGAATGCCCAGGGTAGCAATACTGACAACAGCAGTTGACTCAGCCCCTACACCCTGGGCTGGCTGCCAGCCCCAGGAATGCTGCAGCTGCACACAAGAACTGAGACACAGGCTGGGCATGGAGTTAAAAATCAAACACAACTTATCCTGGAGCAGTTCCTTGGTGCCACCATCAGAAGTGAGATTCCAAAGGAAAGTCACAAAGCCTGTGTGGCTTTACACGAGCCACCCCAGACAGGCTGTGTGGGGCCACAATCAGCCACTCATTCCTTTGGGAATGTCTCAGCAGCACGGAGGCAGCTGCCCCAGGAAGTTCAAAGCATGCAGACCAAGGCATCAACAGAAAACCTCTCAGACACCATTCAGATAATGTGTTCCAGAGCTGCCCACTGAGTCATATCCATATTATATTATTACAAGCGGAAGACTGAGATAAAAATTTGCCAAGTATGAATGGACAGCACTAGGTCACTCAGACCCTCCAGCCACCAGTGCTCAAATACACATTTTCAGGGGCTGGTTTTCCTGTAACTTCTCTTCTGCTTTCCTTCCATCCCTTGCTGCTACCAGTCCTGGCTGCCAGGAGGAATTGCTCCTGGACTAAAAAGAGGAGTGTCTGGGCTCTGTCACAGCCAGGTACCCTCTCAGCTAGGCCGTGTCCAGCCACGGTCACTGGAACAGAGGGTGTGTGTATGCAGTGAACTGGGGAAGGCAAGCAGAGACTGCTCCAGCATGCCCAAGGAGCCCTGTAACCACTCGGCCCCACGCATAACAAAGCCCAAATATCCAGTGAGACCTAAAGCACCGGAGTCCAGCAGTGAGTAAAACTCTGGACAGACTCAGAGTGGCGAGGGTGGCAGAGACCCTCTGGCGGTGTGACCTGCTCAGCTCAGACAGGGCCACCTACAGCAGGAAGGCTTTTGGATATCCCGGCGGGAGACACTGCAGCAGCCCTGGGCAGCCCAGGCTCCATCGCCCTCAGCGGGAGAAGCGTTCCACGAGCTCAGCGGGGCCCTCCCGTGTGTGCGGCTGTGCCCACCACCGGACACCCCCGGCTGNACTGCCCCGGCCCCGCGGTCCGGCCCCCGCCTATTCGTTCTTCAGCCCTTCGACGATGAGGTTGAGCTCGTAGCACCAGGTCTCGTAGCGATACGCCACGCGGATCTGGGCCACGTTCGTCTTCCGTATGTCATTGCCATCGGGCCCCTCTTCCTGGTAGTTTTCACCCAGGAACTTCAGTTTCTCCTGCCAGAGGCAAAGACTCCGGTAGCGACCTCAGAACCCCCGCTGGCAGCGCCCGAGAGAAGCCCTGGGCCGAGCTGGTCGCCATTCTCAGGCCGTGGGCAGGACCTCCCCAGAATGGCACACACCCCGTGGGACAGGACACTGTGGGACACCCTCTGCGTGGGACAGGACACTCTGCGGGACACCCCCTGCGTGGGACAGGACACTGCGGGACACCCCCTGCGTGGGACAGGACACTGTGGGACACCCCCTGCGTGGGACAGGACACTGTGGGACACCCCCTGCGTGGGACAGGACACTGCAGGACACCCCCTGCGTGGGACAGGACACCCACGTTATGGGACAGGACACACTTCACGGGACAGGACACACTGCAGGACACCACTTCATGGAACAGGACACACCTCATGGGATATGAGACACTGCAGAACACCCACCTCATGGGACAGGACACACTGCAGGACACATCCCTCATGGTACAAGACACCCCTCATGAGACAGGACACCCCTCATGGGACAGGACACCCACCTCGTGGGACAGGCCACACTGCAGGATGCTGTTCCTGGCGATCTCACACATGTCACAGGTGCTGAGCTTGAACACCTGGGCAGCAATGGCATACTCCTCCATGAGGGGCTCCTGCAGCACAGGGTTAGGGGTCAGCAGCCTCTGCCAGCACAGCCTGTGTTCTGCAGGGGCTGTTCCAGAGCTCACAGAACCACTGAATCATTTGGGCTGGAAAAGTTCTCCAGAGTCAAGTGCAACCTTCAACCAATACCACCATGCCGACAAAACCATATCACAAAATGCAGCATCTTCTCATTTTTTTTAAACTTCCAGGAACCATTGCCCTGGGCAGCCTGTTTGGTTGCTTGACCCTGTTTCAGTAAAGAAGTTTTTCCTAATATCCTGCCTGAACATCTGCTGGAGGGGGAGATGACTGGACCCTCTGCAAGTGCCACTGGCTTCCAGGAAAACCAAGCCCCACATGGTGCCAGCCCCACAGTCCCAGCCCCAGTGCTCAGCTCACACTGTACCTTGGTGTAGTGAAACTGCATGGGGTCATCTGTAGAAAGGGACACCATGAGCCCTTTCTGGTGGAAGTCAAGCAAGGGATTCTTGGCGTACTCCAGGAAGAGGCTGTTGTTGCTGAGTGGAGACATGGCAATGGGAATTTGGGCAAGGAAGTACAGATACTGCAGCACCGGGCTCTGCAAAGACATGCAGAGGTACCACGTTAGGGATAAAGCTGTGCACCTACCACCTCTCCAGGGTCAATCCTCAGATTAGGCCAGGTCCCAGCCAGGGAATTGTGTGCAAGGAGAGAATTGGGCCAGAGAGTGATCACTGCTTTAGGCCAAGGAGCACAAGAGGCCAAGGAGCTGTCTGATACCAATCTCAGCTGGCTCCAGTGATAAGAACCATATTCTGTGATGGGTCTGGGAGGCTAAACCCCCAAAATCTAATCCATTGCACAGCCACATCCCCAAACATGCTTGGAGAAACCCAGAAAACTACTTAACATCTGCCTAAAGCCAGGCTGTGTCAGTGTAAAGCAGAGGCACAGGTAACTGCCATCTACACAAGGCAGCTGTGAGCATTTCTGCTCTGCCGTGCCTGGGCTGCTCCTGGCAGCCTGCTCCACGTACCTTCTTGAGGTTGAGCCCATGGGAGATGTTATCAGCTGTCATGAAGGCTGCCAGCAGGTGTGTGATGGCCCCAGCCTCGCCGCAGTGCGGGCGGAACAGGAACGTGTTCATCCCACGCTGCCTGGGCACAGGGAAGGAGCACTCAGAGCAGCCAAACAGCAGAGTTGGGTGGCTGGACCCGACTTCAGGCCCTACCTCTGCCCCTACCATGAGTCCCCAGGAGTCCAGCTTGACCTGGGAGCACATTACTCCTTCTCTTTTCTCTGTGTGTGCATAGATGCATCTCTGCAATCCCTAAACTTTCACCCCAGGCCATCACACCTCTTACTGAGGGCTGTTTGGATTGCTGTGGGACGTGATGCTCCAAAGACAGAGTGACGAGAGCCCCACTTCTTCCACACTAACAAAGAACTGAGGCAGCCCTTTGGCAGATCCCAGGCCTCACCTGCGCAGGTTGTTCAGCACCAGGATGTTGGCATACATGTAGTAGATGTAGTAAGTGTAGGATGGGTTCTTCTGCGAAGTCCACTCCTCTGGCTTTGGGCTTTTAAGGCTGAACATGTGTCCACTGTGCTTGGATTCATCATCCACACTGTCAAAGCCTGTGATCTGCTTGGCAAGGGAACAAAAAAGTGCATCTCACACTCTCCACCTCATCATGCCCAGGCAGGCTCGCTCTGCCCCACCACAGCTCATCAGAGCCCGGGTCAGGCAAGACTGCAGACTTCACTCCTCACACCCCCCAAGTGCTGTCCAGGACTAGGAAAAAGCTCAAACCTCAGGAGATGAGTGGACAGCGATTCACAGCCCCACAGCAGCCAGCCCAAGGAGTCTGACCCCTCCCAGCACTACCACACCCCCCCTTCCCCAGAATTGAGGCAGAGCCCACTGATGCCATTTTCCATGTCAGGGCAAATACCCCATTTCTTGTGCACAAACAGGAATGTGAGTTCTTCCCACACATGACAACATCACCAGGTGACACTCACATGGCGTAGAAAGACACTCAGCTCTTTGTGGGCTTGGGGATTGACAGTTGCCTCAAACACAGGAACAAAGATATATTCCAGCATTTTCCCAAAGTGGGGGAGGAAATTCTTAGACCTGAACACATCACTGTGGACAGAGAGAGGGATTAGTAGCTTCCAGAGGGACAACCCAGTGCTCTGTCCCCACAACCCTTTCAGGGATGAGGGGTCTATAATGCACAGTGTTCCCTCAGCCCCACAGCCCGTACTAAATCCTGGGGACTTGGATCATCCACTTCATGTTGGGGGAATAGACCCGGTGGGTGTTGAACCACTTGGCCAGCTTGGCCCACTCCTCAGGCGACCGCCCATAGATCGAGAGCCGGGGCTCCGTGTGCTGGTACTTGGCATCCTCCAGGTCAGAGCCAACCTCCTGCAAACCAGAGCACACCATGGCAAGGGAAGCCACAGCAGCAGCACAGTGTCACCCTGTTCTCCTCCCCTCTCTCCATACCTTGATGATGGTAGCAAAGTACTCGCCATTGATGGCGTTCTCCGTCTTCAGGTAGAGGTCGCGCAGCTCACTGGCCCCCACGGGGTTGTACTTGTCGTTGAACTTGTCAAAGCGCTGGAATGTCTGCCGGCCCTGGAGTGGGGAGATCAGGCTCAAACACTGCCCTCACAGCTTGGCAGGGAGCAGGGACTGAGCCAAACCACCCAAAATGCTAGGAGCTGCTGTGCCCTGACACAAATAGGAATGCACACAACAAGTGTGGGTGCACAGGGAAGGGAAAAGCCATGGGGGCAAGAGTGGCCCAAGAGTGATCTTAGAGTAAATGTTCTACCACTTACAGCATGGACATCCAGGGAATCCACTGTCAGGTCATATGGGTGCAGTTTGAGGCTCTGGAAAAGCTGTTTCAGGGTGAGCTGTTTGCCCTTGGCATCATAGACCACACGGTCAGCATCCACACGGTAGGATTTCTTGATGAAACGCAGAAGGTGCTTCTGGTTCATGCAGGCTGCAGCATGGATGTGTGTGTCCACCTGGGAAAACAGGGACAGCTTCAAGCTGGGATGCTCAGGTACCATCCCAGGGAGGTGAGCAAACCCCTCAGGTGAGCACAGGTGTGGGGAGCAGAGCTCAGCCCAGTGGGTGAATACAGCCAGAGGACACAACTTAGCCAAGAGGCATTGCCATTGAAGGCAGCACATTCCCATTCACTGCTGCTGCTACAGACATGGACTCTTAACATCCAGTTCCCAGGGAGGGGCAGGCACCATGACAGCTCCTTTCCAGGGTCCCTGGGGCTCTAAACCTTGCCGTTTACCTTCCTGCAGTTGTAGAAGTCACGGTGGGGGTTGTTCTTCAGCTCCCTCATCTCCTCCATCTCATTGAGCATTTCATGTACTTGGAACTTGGACGAGAGGAACTTGAGGCGCCGGTGAGTGTAGGTCTTCCTGGTGAGGGCAAAGGGCAGAACAGTCACTGGGGTCCTCATCCCTCAGCACAGGGACACAGATTCCAGCTGGGAGCCTACCTGCAGGTCCTGTCTCCAGCCCCTGAGTGCGGCTTTGCTTAAGACCCAAGTCAAAAGGGCTGATAAGGGCTGAGGACTGTAGGGCAGCCAGGTGTGTGTGGGAACTGACAGTGGGCAAATAAGAGATTTTCAGGCTTCAGACATTAGCCTGAGCCTGTGCTAAAGTCAAGTACACAACTTTCTCTGGCCTGGGAAATCATAAGGAGGAATCCAAACAATCCTTGGAAGGTGAAAAATTATTAGCAGGTTGTGTTTATCTAACTTGTTATTTACTTGGAAATAACGGTCAAGGGGTGTTGTTCTAAATGACCAATCATATTCATTGTACCCAAGTTCTGTATGAAAAGAGTGTGTTTCTAACAAAACTTCGCTCTATGCCCTCCCATGAAGGCTCGGAGTCTCGTATCATCATTTTGCCGTCCCGAATCATAACGATAGGTGTGTCAGCAGTGGGTTCCTCCCTCTTCCCAGGAAGGGAAGGGGGCTGCCCTGGCCTCCCTTTGAGGCAGGGCCTGGTGGTTTGTGCACTTACAC